TGTGTGTGTGTGTGTGTGTGTGTGTGTGTGTGTGTGTGTGTGTGTGTAGGTGCATTCATTAAAGCAATGGTGTTCAAAATGGGGCTTAACCCATTTTCCCAAACATGTAAATAAGGTGTATCTCTTTCTTTGTCTTTCAGGAGTGGATTTTGCAGCCAGGAATGTCGCAGGTTTAGTAAAGCCAAGTGTTAGTATCAGTTTCAATGGGGAAAAGGTGAACATCCAAACAGAAAGTTCATTCAGGAACACAGAGATCTCCTTCAAGCTGGGGGAAGAATTTGATGAGACCACTGCAGACAACCGGAAAGTGAAGGTGAGTGGGAGCTAAATCACCCCGTGTTCAGCTATTGAGGAAAGTAGGTGGTTAGGCATGTTTCATTCAACAGAGTTTCATTTATTGTTAAGTCTGGTTGGGCTCCTTTAAAATCTGTGCTTACATAAGGCCAATCCTTTGCTAATTATTCAGAGAGCTTAATGGAGACAAAATGTTCTTATTTGTCTTTTTGTTGCTGTGTTTGAAACAAAGTCAAGCTATGTAGCTCAGGATGGCCCGACACTTGTAATTCTCTTGCTACTGATTCTCAAGTGCTGGGATGACAGGCGTATGCTGGCAAATTGCCCTCACTCCTCATCTTCCCCCAACTTGTTTTGTTATTTATGAAATGTCATACAGAACAGAACCATTATAAAGGTCAAATAGCTTATGGATTCTTGTCTATGAGAAGATGAATTTAGTTGTCTTTTGAGACTTCTAGATTGACTGTATCAAATCATAACAGGAGTCAAGGTGAGTGTTATGAAGGACAGAATTGCAGACTGGAAGTTAAAAGCTAGACGCCTAGGGCTGCAATGGGTAAAGGGTGTGAAGGAACCCTTCTGATCACTCTAATCACTGTCTCTGCATTTACAGAGCATCATAACGTTAGAAGGTGGGTCAATGATCCAGGTCCAAAAATGGCTCGGCAAAGAGACAACAATTAAAAGAAAAATTGTGGATGGAAAGATGGTGGTGGTGAGTGTTCCCTAGGTTTACATTTTTACATGCTTTTGTGGATGCATACCCATCAAGCTACCCAGCTGCCTTTGCAGCTGAGTTGAGGGCTTGATCTGCAGAAAGAGGGAAGGACAGCTATAACCCGTCAAGGATTGATCAGGTCTAACAAATCTCTCTACTTTCAGGAATGTACCATGAACAGCATCGTCAGCACCAGGACCTACGAAAAGGTGTGAAGAAATGGTGGGCACCAGCAAGAACTTGGCGCTACAGAAAACTTGCTACTAAATCAGATCAGCCTCAGGGACGGTGATTTAAAACATTGACAGCATGAATTTTGCTCAATAAAAGCACTAACTGAAACACAGTCTTGCAGCTGTTTGGTAAAGAAGGTCATGGATTGTGTGTGATGCTCTTCGGTGGCTGTGTGGGCTTCTCCAACAGAAAGCCACTTAGAGGGACGAGGTGTTACCTTACCTCACAGTTGCAGAGGGGAAGCACTGATCTTTGTTTTCATTGGAAAGGCATGGTAGCAGAAGCGTGAAGCCAGCATGGTAGTCAGGAAGCAGGGAGGTTGCATTTAATCCCTACATAGGAAGGACCCGGCCAGGGCAGGAAGTGGAGCTAGACTGTAAATCAAAACCCTCCTGTAGTATATACTTCCCCCAGAAAGGCTCCCTCTTAAAGCTTCCATAACCTTTTCAAGTTGCATCACTATCGGGAAGCCAAGTGTTCAAACACATGTGTCTATGGGGGACATTTAGTATTTAAACCACGGCAGCAAGTCTAAGGAATTAGTAAGACAAGTTTTGCTTAACATGACAAGATCTACAATCATCAGGAGACAAATCTCTGGGCTTGTCACTGAGGAAATTTCTAGCTTAGGTTAACTAAGGTAGGGTAGGAAGACCCACCCAAAATGTGGAGACACCATTCTGTGGGCTGGGTCCTAAACTGAATGAAAAGGAGAAAGCAAGGTTAGCACAATCTTCCACTTCTGTACTTTGACTGTGACGCAATGGGACTGATCACCTCAAGCCCCTGCCTCTGTGACTTCCCGCCATGATGAACTGTCCCCTCAAACTGTAAACCAGAACAAAACCGGCCTTCATTTAATAAAAGGAAGAAAGAAAAGAAGAAGGGAAAGCACTCACTTGGCTTGCCAAGGACCCAGGTTCGGTTCCCAGTGCCTGCACTGAGTGGCTCACAAATGCCTGCGATGGCACCCTTGGCCTCCACGGGCAAGTACACACACGTGGTGCACAGAGATACACTAAATACATGTAGGTGCATAGGCATACGTGTGCACAATAATTATATCTTCGCTGTCTGCTTGCACTAGGTACAGAGGAAAAATAAGACTATTCATTTTAGTGGGTGAGGTAGAAGTCATTATGCACTTTTCAGGAGAATTGGAAATAGAAACAAGAGTAGAGTTTGTAAAGCGTTTTGAAGGTTTATTATTATTATTATTATTTTTATTTTGAAGGGTTTTTTCCCCCCTGAATAACATCTGGATTGTAAACCATCACATTGAGAGACACATGCTGATGTTGACAGGAAAGTATTAATTATCCAGACAGCAATCATACTATCAATACTACCACCCAAGAACAGTTCACCACATTTCTTTTTGTAACACAGCAGTATTTAGTAAATCATTGGCACGAAATCGTCTTCAACATTCTTAACAGGTTTTAATTTTCACACACTTGCACCATAAATACAATAATCATAAATGGGTGCGTTTTTCCACTTGATATAAAATGACAGCAGACAAAACAGTGATCAAAACTAGATGGAGCCCTAGGGTAAAGCAGCAGGACACAATTCACACATACTTCTGCACATCTGTACGCGCTCTCACAATTTCTACTTTAAATATTTAGGGAGAAAATGAAGGCTTTGTTTGTTTAAGACAAGGTTTCTTTATATAGCCCAGGCTGTCCTGAAAATCACTCTGTAGACCTGGCTGCCCTTGAGCTCAGAGATCCACCTGCCTCTGCCCCCAAGTGCTGGGATCAAAGGCACACGGCACCATGGCCTGGCATCTATTTTGTTTTAATTCTTTATTAATCCTTTGTGAGTTGTTTCAAATCATGCACTCCAGTCCCGCTCATCTCCTCATCCACTCAGATCCACCTTCACTCTTGCAACCTCCCCATTAAAATAAAACACACACACACACACACACACACACACACACACACACACACGCAAAAAAAAAGAAGGAAAGCATAGAAAAACATCTTATTGTGGAAGCTGTAGTGTGTCACAGTGTGTCTCACCGTATATCTCTCTTTCCACACATCTTCACTTGCTGATGCTCATTGTAGTGAGGTTTTTGGTCTGGTTCAAGGTCTCTGGCTTCTGTGACATCATCAGGATTGGATCCTCACCACTGCTCCTCCCGGTTATCCTGGTGTTGCCCTGTGCCATGGAGATCCTGCAGCTTTGGATCAGCAACACTGTCCCGTTCAACTGTTTACAGATGATATAGACTTTGGGACGGGGCCACCAGGGGCAGCTCCGCCGTGTGGCCTGAGAGAGGCACAGGGCCTGCTCTTCCCAGTGCCGTGGTGTGTTTTGGGGGTCATCTATTCTGTATCCAACCCCTGTGTCTTCCTTCCATTACGTGGTGTGGAGCAGCCATCTGCCCCAACAGTGGGACCAAGCATGTGCTGCCACAGAGAGACTTGCAGAGAAGCAGTAGGTGGTGTGAGGACCTGTGGCAGCCAGACTAGCGTCATCATCACCTTCAGTTATTGATGGTCTTCGGGAGCCGCCTCTCCACTTCATTTTATCCCAAATGCCTCAGGGTTGTGGGGAGTATAGCGACAGGCAGCCTGAAAGTGTCAGCCCGCTAGTCACCCAACATGTCACTTCTCCTGTATCTCCTTCCCTAATGGCCAAGCAATCCAAGTATGCAGAGCAGGAACGATGCCGCTGGCGAACAGTGGGCAGAAATCAGAGCAGGAGAGGTCCCAGCGATGGCAGCTTAGAGCACTGTCCCAAGGTAACTCACAAGAAGCTTTCTATGAAGAAAACGAACATGGAAACTGGATTCTGCTTTACTCTGTAAAACAGTGCAGATTTCAGAAGATGACTATTCAAAAAACTCTTCAAATATAAGTTACAAACTAACTGTATTAAAGTCGGCGTTCCTGCCTCTCAAATCAATAATGTCCTAATAGCAGATTAATGTTCACTGTAAACTCAGGGTCTCATTATACATTTGCATTAAGAAATGGTACTGTGTACCACATACACCAAGTCGTGGTTCACATCTTTCCAACACTCAGGAGGCAGAAGTGGGTGGATTTCTGTGTTCTTGAAGGAAGCCTGTTCTACATACTGAGTTACATACTAACCAGAGCTACAGAGTGAAGCCATGTACTAAAAACAAACAAATGGAAGGAAGAAAAATAAAAAAAAAAAATTATAGGAAGGATGAGGGCTGGAGAGTGGATGGCTCAGTGGCTAAGACTTTGACTGCTCTTCCGGATGGCCTGGGTTCTGTTCCCATCACTCACATGGTGACTCACAGCCATCTGTAACTACAATTCCAAGGGGATCTGATGCCTTCTTCTGGCAGCCATGGGTACCAGGCATGCAAGTGGCTCACAGACACACTTGCAGGCGAAACATCCGTGCAGAAAGAAAGAAAGAAAGAAAGAAAGAAAGAAAGAAAGAAAGAAAGA